TACAGATTTACTGGAAGTTGCAAAAATGGTACAGAGAGGTCCTGTGTACTCTCCACATCGTGTTCCCCACTGGTAACATTTTACATAGTTTTAGAACAATAACAGAACCAGGAAATTGTTATTGGCACAATCCATAGACCTCACTAAAATGTCACCAGTTGCACGTATATATATCTGTGTGTAGGTTTGTGTGCATGTGTGTGGTTCTATGCAATATTATCACGTGTAGATTTGAGTAACCACCACCACTGACTAGAATGTCTATTGCTATATGCAAGGGGAAGTTTGAAACGAGTCATTTAATGAGAGAGTAGGGAGCAGGGACAGAGACAGGGAAGGAGAGAGACAGAGAGGGAGAGAAGAGAATCATACAGTGAATAGTTCATGTCTAAGAGACTCAAGATAGTGTGGCAATCAGCTATCTAAAGAGACAATCAATTCAATGATATGCAGAACTACATGTGGCTAAAAGGCAGTGAAATTTTCCTAGTACGGAACCCCATAAGATTACTAAAGATAAGGAAATAATTTATATGAGACCCAAGACTATTCAAGTAAGACCATGTCTGCCTGCAGAATATGAGAATAGTAAACAATAACCTGAATGCTTCTAGGATTATAGGCAAACAGAGGCAGAGGAATGCAGGAATGTTTCCCTTAAGCAGGGAATAGAAGAAGGAGCATGTGTCCACCACGGCCAGACTTTAGCACTCCCGGACCATGGCCACTTGGCACTATGAAAACAAAACATATCTAACAAATTCCCTAAAGTATCTAGGGGTTGTGGTATCTCCAATCAAAAAGCACAAATGTCTTCCTCTTCTACAGGAAGAATATTCTTCTCCCTAACTTCCTCAGTTTCTGTTTCCACTCACTGGGGCTTTCTTTGTGTTTTTTATTTTTTCCTCCAGAGACTGCCAATTAGGGGGGAATCTGGATTTTTTTTTTTTTTTAAAGATCTGGATTTTTAAAGTTTTTTTTTTTTTTAAGATTTTATTTATTTATTTGACAGAAAGAGTGAGAGAGCACAAGTAGGCAGAGCAGCAGAGTAAAAGGGAGAAGCAGGTTCCCCACTGAGCAGGGAGCCTGATGTGGGGCTTGATCCCAGAATCCTGGGATTATGATCTGAGCCAGAGGCAGATGCTTAACCAACTGAGTCACCCAGGTCCCCCTAAAGTTATTTTTACATATGATTTTATTATGGAAAGTGATAGTTTTGTTACACATGACTGCCTTCCATCCTGGCTGATCTATCTCCAGTAGGCCTGAGCCCATACCATCAAAAGTGACATTACCAATAGGAGAGAAGGGGATACCATTCTATCAGAACTGAAATGTAAAACAAAGGCAACCAATTGTAAGAAAGGCCTTGGCTGAGACTTTATTCAAAGCATTTTAATGGCACTCAGGGAAGACTAGTTTGTTAAAATCTAGCAATTCTTTTTCTATCAGCTTAAGAACTTCAGAGAGGGGGCGCCTGGGTGGCTCGGTGGGTTAGGCATCTGCCTTCCGCTCAGGTCATGATCTCAGGGTCCCGGGATCGAGCCCTGCATCAGGTTCTCTGCTCGGCAGGGAGCCTGCTTACCCCTCTCTCTGCCTGCCTCTCTGCCTACTTGTGATTTCTCTCGCTGTCAAATAAATAAATAAAATCTTAAAAAAAAAAAAAAAGAAGAACTTCAGAGAGGGTCACCTGGGTGGCTCAGTCAGTTAAGCATCTGCCTCTGGCTCAGGTCATAATCCCAGGGTTCTGGGATGGAGTTCTGCATCAGGCTCTTTGCTAAGCAAGGAGTCTGTTTCACCCTCTACCCTTCCTCCCTGCTCATGATCTCTCTCTCTTTCCCTCTCTCAAATAAATAAGTAAAATATATTAAAAAAATTAAACTAAAAAAAGGAACTTCAAGGAGGTTTAATTTTCAAGGAAAGGAGAATTCAATTTAATGTGGGCTTACCGTTTGTTGTATTAACCCACTAAGATGGGTACTGCGGATTCTTCAAAAGAAGCATTCGTTTTGTTACTTGATCTCAAGGAGCTTAAAGTTTCACTGGGATAATAGCATATTAACCCTGAAAATAATTAGAGATATCAGATATAGTTCCCATCAGAAGTAATTAAAAAAGAGGTGAGACTAGGGAAGAGATGATTATGGCTCTGGAGAGCCACATACATCTTTCTGGAGGAGGATGGAAATGGCGAGCTGGGGGTAGTGGTATGCAACAGAATTGGAAAGGGAGAAGGAAGGGATGTTTAAGGAAACATAATTATTGAAAGTAACAGTCTTCAACACATTTCAAGGAAAAGAAACCAGAAGCTTGGTAGGCAGACGGGAAAATAAAACATTGAGGAGGGGAGCTGATGTCTGTTGCACTTTCATCATTGTTTTAAAGTTGTATTTGGCTTATGCCAAGGAATAGCCTTTCACATCAGAACATAAGGTAGTCCAGGAATTAAAAAGGATGTAATTTCTATAGCATCAACACCTACAGCATTCTCCATGAAGACTCTCCATTGTTCTCAACCATGACCTAATTTCTATGCACTTTAAGTGGGTCCCTTGGAGGCTTGTAGATCAAAACGCCTCACCTTAAAATTCTTAATTTTAACATATGTAGGTGTTTAGAAGGAAGTAATGAAATGCTTTGAAGCTTATTTGTAGTGGAAAAGTATCAAGACTAGTATCTTGACATTCTGTGTAATTAGTAGTGTTCGATTAAATTCTGTTTTTATTGTGCCATTTACTTTGGGAGGTATATCTTGGCTTGAGAACAAGGATGTTTAGCACTGAACTAATATTTGTTTTGCCAAAACAGACAGTCAGCTAAGAGTAAGTTTGTGTGCTGTCAGAAGCATATTTTAAGGTATTAAATTATAGCATATGGTGTTAGTCTTTTTCCTCTGGTTGTGAAAAGACCTTGTCCTGAGGGTCTATTGGCCTTGACTCGTGGGACTTGTTTGATGGCCGCTTACCTTCAGCACCATCCTGGCTTCATGAAAAGATACAGAGACATGAGTAGAGGGAGCAGCCAGTGCTCTTTCCAAATGGGAACGAAGAAGGGGCTGAATGGAGGAGAATGCTTTCCTCCTCGATTCTGGCAGTTGTTTCTCTGCTCATAATGGAAATAAGGTAGCTTATATTTGAACCCACTTTTACAATTATTGGACTTTTATAAATGGTTGAAATTCTGTTTCCATTCTGAATGGACGAATCCAGGAGAGGCCAGGGTTCCACTGCTCTGCCTATTGTGCCCCATGGGCCTCTGGGGAGCCCTTTCATTTATTCATCTGTCTTTTATCCGCTTTGCACACTTTAGATTCAGTTTTGAGATAAATTCTGCTCAAAATAGGAAGAAGCAATCCTGACGGATGCTCCTGTGACAAGAACTTGCTGAGTATCTTTGCCAGAGGTAGCAGATTCTGAGGCTGGATTTTACTCACTGGTAAAGACAACAAATGAGGACAATTAGGCAATGCAAAGATATTTGCGATAACAGTTGGTTTTCTGATCATAGTGGCTGATCCTTTAAACATATAATTGAATTCCAAAATGAACTATGCTTCTATTCAGGTAAAAGGAAATTCATAATGTTGAAATTTGTATATTAACTTGTTTTCATTTTCCAATGCAAGACTCGCTAGTGAGGAGAAATGACCCTGTGGTGTTATTATAGTTTGTGTATTATAGATACAGCTCTGTTCCCCTTTCACCTTCCCCAGAACTGGAGTTTCTGGTGGAGAATCCAGGTGCGCATCCGTGCTATGATCTGGCTTGGGACACTAAATCTAAATCAATCCTTACATTTACAGAAGGGAAACAGGGTCAGAGGAAACTCTTGGAATTTTATCAGTGGAGTGAGACTCAGTGTAGTATCTTTAAGCACCATAGTTTAAAAGTCATTTATCATCATCAGAAGAAAACCCATATTGCAAAGGTAACAAACGAAAGAGGGCAACTCTTGAGCAATATTATACCAAGTTGTAATTGAGGTAAACAAACGGTTAAGATCAAAGTTTAGCTAGTGTAGGTCTTTTGGAGAATCAGACCCATATCACAATAGTACCTGATGCATCACAATTGAAAACATTCTTATTGCTTTCACGTGCAAGGGTAATTCTTTAGGTCTAGAATATATAAGTTTATGAACAAAGTGCGTCTTTCAGGTTGGAATCTAAGAACTAAAGGAAACAAATAATAATTAAAAACTACAATTCTCATAATTATAAAAGAATACATATAATCACTGTGTATGAGCTACTGTGCCCTTCCCAGGCATTTTCTTATTTAAACTTCTCTATTCTTTGTGGTTACCTAAAGACAAATAATTTACTTAGGCTGCCGAGGACGGCACCAGCTGGGCTCAGGTCACCAATTCTGCTCCTACAGCCAGTGCTCATGGACAGTTTGGCTGAAACTGCACTTTCCCGTCCAGGAGCCAGAAAAGTGTCTTTTGCAACAGCTTTTCGAATCCAAACCGACAAGGTGGAAACTCAGAGTAGGGTTCATTGGATGGGGGTGGAGGGTGAGTGCCTGGCGTGGGTGGAAAATTGATAGTCTGTTCCCTTCATTGAGTTAAGGAAAGAAAGACGAGGATGGTGGGAATCGTGATCCTAGGTCGGACCAACTGTGCTCTTCCTTTTGACACAACCCGAGCCTTGAAACTGGATGCCCTCAAAACAACTGTTAAGGAGTTGTTCTTGATAGGACCAACCTTGTGGCTGCTGTACGAACAGCCGTGCCGCCGCGCCTTCAAGCCCTCCATGCCTTCTGTCTCCACTGCAACCTTTCTCAGGCGCAGACGCAGGCGGAGCGAATGCAACAGTTTCGGAGTTCGCGACTCTGGGCGCGGCGTGGGGCGATTCCGAACATCCTCCGCGCAGCCAAGGGCGCGGCTCCCCGCGGGCGGGGTTGGGAGGGGGGTGAGGGAGGTGCGGAACTGGGCGCGTCGGGACCGCCCCCCAGCCGCCTGCCCACTAGCTGCGCGGATCCGGGCCCGCTGCTCGCTGAGTCTGTGCGCTCCTGCGCGGTCAGTCTTCTTCCCGCCGAACCCGGCGCGCGCGGCCGCGATGAGCTGGGAGTTGCTACTGTGGCTGCTGGCGCTGTGCGCGCTCGTCGCGCTCGTGGTGCAGCTACTGCGCTTCCTGCGGGCCGACGGCGACATGACCCTGCTGTGGGCCGAGTGGCAGGGGCGACGCCCAGGTGAGGACCCGCAGCCGCGCCACCCGAGGGGGAGGCCGGGCTCCGTGCGGCCGTGCCCGGTGTCGCCGCATCCCTCCGGGTGGCGTGGAGCTTCCCCGCCTTTCCCTGGGGCTGCCTTTGGGGGAGGAAAAAGCCGTGTCCAACGAGGCGGTCCTGTCCCTTTGTCTCTCGCGGGGGCCAGCGAGGCCTTGCCCGCTTGGCGAAAGAGGAGGGCGCTGGAATGGGCGGAGCGCCCTCGGGACTCGAAATTCTTACCTGGGCTCCCAGGGGCTCTGCTGCTGCGTCCACGGAGTCCACCACTTTGACGAGCAGTGCCCGTCCCCTGAATTTGTAAAGGAGCCTCCTTTTGATAACCGGAGCCCGGTTCATCTCCTTCCTTAAGTTGTCGCGAGTGGTGAAGTAAAGTGAGTGTCCGGACTTACCCCCCCTACGCACATACTGGGATGAAAGTATCACCCTGGAAAGAACTGGATTTTGCCCGGGGCGAGATCATCGCTGGCATCCTGAGGGGCATTCTGCCTCTCCCACTTTCATCTGTACCCTGATTAGATATTGGTGGTTGTTTCCTAAACACATTCTTTGTGCGCAAGCGATGTGACACGACCTCTAGCCTTTACAGCGACTCTTGCAAAGTAGGCGTTATTAATCTGATGTACCCGGAGCTAGGCTTTGGATCTGTGAGCGCTAGAGGAAGTGGGGTTTGCCTGGACCTAGTTTCCTGTGTGTCGATACCCAAAACGCATGTGAGGAAGTTTACTTTTCTTTCCAAGCGGTCCTGGGAGGGCAGGGCAGCGATATGGCTCCCAAGGGTGTCAAAACTGGTTCCTGAGGACTAAAGAAAGTCTTAGATGGTACAGTGCTTTGTGTCCCTCCAAAGCTCAGCCCTACCGCACAAAGTCTTATTCCTTAATATTTCATTTGTCTTGTTGCATTTCCTTGGGGATAACATCTGGAGTGCTGACATTATTGAGTTGGTGGAAAATACACCTATGCAGGGTCAACGCTACAAAACCGTAGCAAAGAGGTGCTTGTGATTGTCAGACCTCTGGATGAGTCCTTCTCTTGTCTGATGGCTGCCCAATGACTGCTTTGTGGATATTTCCATTTGATCCTGAGTGCTTTTGTGTTAATTTGGATTTGGTATTACCTAAAAATAGTTTTTTAAATTTAATTCTGCAAAAGTTACCTGATCCATTAGTTATGTCAAGTGCTGAAGAGGAAGAATGTTGCCAATGCCTGAATGAATAATTAACAGCTGGTTAAAGTTACTATCACATATCAAGCAAAAATTAAAAATTGACCAAAATAGTTTTTAGGAAATTCATTTAATCTTTTCAGTGTTTTACTTTTGTTGGAAAAATAATTTTGAAGGATTTTAAGATACATTTAGTTACATTGCTATTATTATGAACTTTTAGAATAGGGTAACTTGCATGCTAATGGCTTTTGAATTTTAATTTAGCTTTGTTTTTAGATTTAGTCATTCTTAAACCTGCGTTGACTGTAGAGTAAGGTTTCGAGAACTCTTTATGTATAAAGTACAGAGCACATAAATAGATGTACAGTATATCTGGTGTTAAAATTTCGTGAGGGAGTTTTTAGGAAAAAAAAACACTAGAAAGTATACTGTGGGTTGGGAGTGTGATAATAAAACAAAGTTAAAGGCACATGGAGTTACACTCCGGTCCCCATCAGATTCCCAGAACGATTTAGACTGGAAAGATAGGCAGACTCTATTAAGGTAAAAAAAATATATAGATAGATAGATGGATAGATAGATATAGATAGATAGATTTGGTTTATTTATTTATATTTTATTTATTTATTTATAATTGGTTTATTATTTTTGTCACCTTAGAAAATAGACAATATACTCATATGCTACAAAAGTTAACGACACAAAAGGATATATGATTAAAAGCTGCCCCCAACCACCAAGTATGCTTCTCTGAAGGCAACCAACTTTTCCCATCTTTTATGTATCCTTCTAGAGAAATTCTCCATGTTTCCAAGGGTGTATCTCCCATAGTGAAATTGAAGGGTGACTATAGATATTGCACAGAGATCCAGAAAAATCCATGGCACAAGTCCAGAGTAGGAAATCTCCAGCAGCAGCAGCAGCAGCAGCACACCGGAAGAAAATTCAAGTTTTAGTTGGCAGTAACCACCATGTGAGTGGACTCTGAAATGACTGCCAAAAAAGATTCGGCAGGTGTGGGAGGCATGTAGTGTGTGAAGCAACACATGGCAGTCCACAGTGGGTATCTTCTGAGTGGCTGCTTGTGTTATACCCGAGTTTTTGCGTCCGAGAGACCACCAAGGAGCCAACACCGATGCAGTCGCACAAGGGTTTATTTGGGAAGCTTAAGCTTGGGCCCAAGTGTACCGACACATCGGAGTAGGGACTTGGACCCTGAACCGGATTACAGTCAGAGTTTTTAAAGGCAGAGGAGGGGTGGACTCGGCAGTAGATAATTGGGCCACGACTGCTGGAGGTGAGGACAAAGGGGATGTTCAGAAGGGCTGTCAGGGTAATGAAGACTGTCAGGGTATTGGAGGCCTAGTTATTATCAAGTCAAGGCCGTTTTTCCCTCTAATGAGGCACTAACATGACGGACAATTGGGAGTTTCCTGGTGGAATGTCACATTCCTCCTATCAAGCGTTTTTGTTAGTGAGGTTTAGGTTTAACTTTATTTCCATTTTCTTCCACCTCAGCCTCCTTCAGTTTAATGGAGGGGAGGTCAGTGTTAGGGCTTGAGAAACTGAGTTACTTATCTCTGGAAGTTGGGCTATTGATAAGATAGCTTCTTTGTTGTAAATCTCTAGGATATTTATAAACCAAGGGAGACTCCTGTCTTGCAGGATTGTGGTCTCGCAAGTTAACTATTTGTTTTTCTTTTAGGGCAGCCAGGCGTGCCTGAGGAATGTCACACATATTACCGAGGGGAGCGGGTGGAGAGGGGATGCAAGGTGCCAGCTTTTGCTTTGTCAAGATAGCTGTACTTATGTCAGGGCTAGACTCGAGGTGGGTACAGCCTTGTTTTTCTTGGCCTCCACACTTGTATGTGTCAAGGCCTCTGAGCTAGACCCTGGGACACACCCCGGTGGCCAAGCAAGCCATTGCCCAGACCCCATGGGAGTCCTGGATCCTTCTCTGGCCAGTTCTCTTCAATAGGAACATTGCCTAGCTAGAGTTTGTACAAAGGGGTGTGAGCCAAATAGTGAGCAAACCTGAAGCCATGTCATCTGAGGGAAAGTCACAGACATTGGAGGTGTTTATTTACCCTAAGAGAAGCAAGAGATGAGAGGGTTTAGGGAAGACATGTAAGCTATCTTCAGATACACAAGGGATTGTCGATGTGTGAGCCAGGCTTGATTTATTTTTTCTGTTAATACAGGCAGAGCTGCTGCCAATCGCTACGGGGCTACAGAAGTTAAAGGTAGATCACAATACAAGAAAGAATCCTTGACTCCTTGAATGATCAGATTAGTCCAAGGAAGGAGGGGGTGCTTTGGAGAGAACTAGCTTCCACATCCTTTGAGGGAATTAAATAGACGTTAGTCAACAGCTTAAGGAGAGAATTCTCAAACTGGGTTGGGGCTGGAACTCTTGTGAAGTTTCCTTCCAACTCTGAGAATCTGCTTTTAGAGACTCTGTAGGGGAGGCCTTTGTGTCTGCTAGATTCCCTGGAACTGGGAAACAAAAGTTGGTGCTAAATACACAAGTTTTCTTCTCCAGGCTGGGCCAGAACTACAGGTGTCCTGAGGTAAGCAAGACCCTAATGACTTTCATTGTTTGTTTCAAGTCATATTTGCTTAGTGGTGTAAACAGGAAGAAATTTTTGTGAGCTGTATGCCAGTAAATAGTTAGTTTTATTTACTCTCTAGTCTGAGTATTGCAGAATTTTGGAATAATGAGTGGTCAATCTGAATGTACATTCTGTTCTTCGTGAAGGAGTCCTCTGTTGTGAATTTCTATAGAAGTCCATCATATGACAGGAAGGCATTGTCGCCTAGACGTAGTATTTGGCATGTTTCCAGCCTTGATTCAGATATTTACGTAAAACCTCTTTCCTGAAGACAAGTTTTATTTTCTTGAACATCTAAGAAACAGTTGGATTTTAAAGGATTGATCATATTAAAATGTGGGCACCACTGGTCAGGGTGTGGCTTTGGAGCTAGATGTACCTGAGCTTATATCCCAGCTCTGCTGGGGTGGGGTGCTTACTCCACAGTTACTGATGTAGTTCGTTCTATATTCCAGTGTCTGTGCTAGGCACTGAATGGTGAACAAGGCAGACAGGGTCCCAGCCTTAAGGGACTTTGCAGTCTAGTGGGGTAATGTCTGTAATCCTGTTTCATTTCCTTTTTTATAAAATTAAGATAATTCTTATTTCATAAGTTTCTTGTGAGGGTTCTAATAAGGTAATGCGTTTAAGCATGTAGGAAGTAATAAAAAGTATTACGCCTTTATAGTTAAGAACCCCCTTGCCCCTGGCTGGAGAAATTAGAATATGCAAATTATTGGGTGAATATTCTGTGTGTTGCTGCTGCAAAGTCTATTTGTTAAACACTTTTAGCAATAAGTAGTTAACACTTTACTAAGCACTGAGTATGTGTCAGACTCTGCTCTGGATATTTATTTTAACTCATTTTTTTCTCAACAATGCCATGAGGGAGGTTTTATTAATCCAGTTTTCCAGTTGTGGAACATTAAGGCACCAAGTTTTCACAGCAGGGCGTTTCCTTGCTGTGTGTGGTGGAGCCAGGATCTGAACCCTGGAAGTCTCCAGAGCTCGTAATGTTACTAGGCGGGTTTTAGCATGGTCTGACTAAAACAGTAAACTGATTTCCCAATTTTAATTTTTATGATCTCAAATCAGAAGTGTGTGTGGTGGGGCGCCTGGGCGGCTCAATCATTAAGTGTCTGCCTTTGGCTCAGGTGCTGATCCCAGCATTCTGGGATCCAGACCCACATGGGGCTCCCTGCTCAGCCGGAAGCCTTCTTTTCCCTCTCCTGCTTCCCCTGCTTGTATTCCCTCTCTCACTGTCTCTCTCCCTTTCTCTGTCAAATAAATAAAATCTTAAAAAAAAAAAAAAAAGAAGTGTGATTCCTTGTTTACTGTTTTGTTTTGTTTTGTTTTTTACTTTTTTGAGAGAGAGAGCAAGCAGGAGCAGGGGGAGGGCCAGAGCAACAAGCTGACTGCCCACAGAGTGGGGAGGCCCAATGTGGGGCTCAATCCCAGGACCCTGGGGATCATGACCTGAGCCAAAGGCAGACACTTAACTGACTGAGCCAACAGACGTCTCTGTAGTCATGCCTTTTTTTTTTTTTTAATTAGGTAGGAGGGGTTTCTGAGGGTATTAAATTAAAAACTTTTAAAATTACTTTATTGAGGTACGATTAGCATGTTAAAAAACGGTACATATTTAATGTATACAACTCAGTGAGTTTGAGGTAAGCGTATACCTGTGAGATCATCACCAGTATCAAGGCCGTAAATAGAGGATATTTAAACTTTTAAACCCCACATATTATTGTCTTCATATTTAGTGGTATTGTTTATGACTATCTTTTTTATGGGTGTAATCCACAGCCCATTTCCTGCTCATTGCACATGTGTTTCTCCCTAGAATGGGAGCTGACCGATATGGTGATATGGGTGACTGGAGCGTCGAGTGGGATCGGTGAGGAGCTGGCTTACCAGCTGTCTAAACTGGGAGTGTCCCTTGTGCTGTCCGCCAGAAGAGTGCAGGAGCTGGAAAGGGTGAAGAGAAGGTGCCTTGGTGAGTAAATCTAAAATGGCAGCAGTGCTTCCTAGAAATAAACCAGAACCTGAATTCAAATACAATTCTGAGAATTTTAAGAGGAAAGAGTGGGATTTTCCCAGGCAGTCTCCTCTGGTTCCAAATGCTTCCAATGCTCAGATTCAGATCTTCTTCATTTGGGCATCTCTTCATTAGCTGCCCTTGCCTTTTTCTTCTCTTTTCCTGACACCTTTCTAATTCACTTTTTTTTTTAAAAACCTTATTTCCAGCTAGTTGACATACAGTGTAATATTCGTTTCAGATGTACAGTGTAGTGATTCAGCACTTCCATACATCTCTAGGTGCTCATCAAAGTGAGTGCACTCCTTAATCCCATAACCTATTTCAACCCCTCCCCTCAGCCACCTCTCCTCTGGTAACCATCAGTTTGTTCTCTAGAGTTAGGAGTCTGTTTCCTGGTTTGTCTCTCTCTCTTTTACTGCTTTGCTTGTTTATTCTGTTTCTTAAATTTCACGTATGAGTGAAATCATGTGGTATTTGTCTTTCTCTGACTAACTTATCTACTGACATTCTGCTTTCTACTTCTTAGCTCCAACCATGTCGCCGCAAATGGCAAGATTTCATTCTTTTTTATGGCTGAGTAGTATTTCATTGTATATACACACCACGACTTCTTGGTGCATTCATCAATCGGTAGACTCTTGGGCCACATCCATATCTTGGCTATTGTAAATAATGCTGCCATAACATAGGGGTGCATGTATCCCTTTGAATTAGTGTTTTTGTATTTTTTGGGTAAGTACCCAGTAGTGCAATTACTGAATAGAACTGAAGATAGTTCTATTTTTTAGTTTTTGAGGAACCTTCACGCTGTTTTCCACAGTGACTGGACCACTTTACATTTTGACCAACAGTACATCAGTGTCCTTTTTCTCCACATCCTCACCAACATGTGTTGTTTGTTGTGCTTTTGGTTTTAGCTATTCTGACAGGTGAGAGGTGACATCTCATTAGAGTTTTGATTTGCATTTCCCTCATGATAAGTGATGATGAGCATCTTTTCATGTGTCTGTGGGCTATCTGAATGTTTTCTGTGGAGAAATGTCTGTTCATTTTTTTCTGCTCATTTTTTTAAGGTTTTTATTTAAATTCCAGTTAGTTAACATGCAATGTATTATTAGTCTCAGGTGTACAGTTCACTGATTCAGCACCTACATACAGTACCTGGAGCTCATGATGAGTTTGCCCTCCTTACTCTCCATCACGTATTCAACTCACCTCCCCCCGCCTTTCCCCCCTCCCACCTCACCTCTAGGAGCCATCAGTTTGTTTTCTATAGTTAAGAGTCGGCTTCTTGGTTTGCCTCTCTTTCTTTTTTCTTTATAGTTGTTTCTTTTGTTTCTTAGTGCTCGCCTTCGCAGCATACATACTAAAATAGTTTTGTTTCTTAAATTCCACATATGAGTGAAATCATGTGCTATTTGTCTCTCTCTGACTGACTGACTGACTGACTTCGCTCAGCATAATATTCTAGCTCCATCCTTGTCATTGCAAATTCTGCCCACTTACAAGTTGGGTTGTTCATTTTGGGGGAGTTGAGTTTTTTTAAGTTGTTTATATGTTTTGGATACTAGGCTTTCACTGGATATGTCGTTTGCAAATATCTTCTCCCATTCAGTAGGTTGCCCTTAAAGTTTTGTTGATGGCTTCCTTGGTTGTACAGAAGCTTTTTATTTTGAGGTAGGCCCAATAGCTTTTGTTTCCCTTGCCGCAAGAGACATAGCTAGGAGAAAGTTGCCGTAGTTAATGTCAAAGAAGTTGCTGCCTGTGTTCCCTTCTAGGATTTTCGTTTGTTTGTTTTTTAAGTAGGCTGCAGTCCCAGCCTGGAGCCCAGCATGGGGTTAAACGTAAGTGACCCTGAGATCAAGACCTGAGGGGATATCAAAAGTCGGATACTTAGACGACTTAGCCACCCATGCACCTCTCCCTTCTTTTGATGGTTTTCTGTCTCACATTTAGGTCTTTAATCCATTTTGAATTTATTTTTGTGTATGCTGTAAGAAGGTGGTCCAGGTTTCATTCTTTTGCATGTTGCTGTCCAGTTCTCCCCACACCATTTGTTGAAGAGTCTTTTTCTCATTGCGTAGTGTTTCCTACTTTGTAAAGGATTAATTGGCCATATCATTGTGAGCTTATTTCTAGATTTTCTCTTCTGTTCCGTTGATCTCTGTGTGCCTTTCTACGTTTCTTCTGCACTGACCCTTGCTATTAGGGAGTGACCACCAATTCCTTCAAATGCTGGTGGGTTTTCAGTGACCACATACCTTTTTATTTTTGTCTTAGAGAAAGAACAGTTTGATTGTTATGTATGGGATACATGTATGTAACCACAGAAATTTAATTAGAAAGGATCCTTCATTTTGCTAAAATGTCAGCTATTAAAGTTGTATGGGATGCTATAAGATTTTTGTTATAAAAATGAAAGAGCAAAAAAAAAGAAAGAATGGGAATTGAATTAGGTTTTAAAATGCAGCTTGAGGTCATATTCATATTCATAGATAGAGCAACAATGTTAATTTTTTATTTTTTTGGCCTGGGTTTTGGTATAGTTATAGTCACACGAAAGCAGTCTCAAGTTATAAAGTGATTATTTCTCATGGGGCATTTAGTACCTAAAATGAGATAATTTTGAATTTTCAGGCAGACCATTTTTTTGGTCATCTGTCTACCTGTTGTTCTTTAAACATTAACCACCCAAAAAAGGGGAGTCAGCAGCCAGGTCCGCAAGGCCTCTGTCCCAGTGTTGCTATCAGAGGCCTCTTGGGTTTTGCGCAGCAACACTTCCTATGATAGTTGTTCCTCTAGCTGTTGAGACTGGCAAGTGCTGTACTGGCAGAAACAAACCATGTCAGCATTTCTTGGCTGGAGTGAGGCTGGTTATTTTCCTTTCTTCTTTCCAATCACTGGTGCAAGCATTTCCATTTCTCTTAAACAGTTCATGTTTCACAGTTTAGACTTTCCCATAAATCCTTTGTACCCCTTTTATTTCCTCTCCTTGCTTGTTTTTCTAATTGGCATTACTTGTTGCATTTCTTTTTCTTTTTTCTTTTTTTTTTTTAAGATCTTATTTATTTATTTGAGAGAGAGATCACAAGTAGGCAGAGAGGCAGGCAGAGAGAGAAGGGGAAGATGCGGGGCCTGATCCCAGGACCCTGAGACTATGACCTGAGCCAAAGGCAGAGGCTTAACCCACTGAGCCACCAGGCGCCCCATTTGTTGTATATCAATATTAGGGCTTATTCTTTTGATGAACAGCTACAGAAAGGACCAGTCTAGCTCCATCTGTTTCTTTTTTTTTTTTTTTTTTTTTTTAAGATTTTATTTATTTATTTGACAGAGAGAGATCACAAGTAGATGGAGAGGCAGGCAGAGAGAGAGAGAGAGAGGGAAGCAGGTTCCCTGCTGAGCAGAGAGCCCGACGTGGGACTCGATCCCAGGACCCTGAGATCATGACCTGAGCCGAAGGCAGCGGCTTAACCCACTGAGCCACCCAGGCGCCCCCATCTGTTTCTTGATTGGGAATTTCAGGACTGTGCCCTGTTCCTTGTTTGCTTCCTGGAATCCTTTTCTCTGGAAGGAAGTGCCTATGTGTTATGTGAGTGGGGAACTCTGAAGGCATAAATTGTTTTTCTTTTTAATGTGTGTAAAAGGGCAGCTATACTTTGTGCACCTATCATAAGACAAATGTACCTCTGTACTTCTAAAGAAATAGCTCTAAAATTTCTGCTTTTTTTTTTTTTTTTTTTTTGCTTGTAGCATAATCTTGATTTCTTTTAGAGCATGTTCCAATGTTAGACGGTGTATATTCATGTTGAGGAGAACCACTCTACTTCCTGGGGACCCAGCTAGGTTTTTGTTTAATAAGATGTTGCCTCAGGGGGCACCTGGGTGGCTCAGTGGGTTAAGCCGCTGCCTTCGGCTCAGGTCATGATCTCAGGGTCCTGGGATCCAGTGCCGCATCTTGCTTTCTGCTCAGCAGGGAGCCTGCTCCCCCCCCCACATCTGCCTGCCTCTCTGTCTACTTGTGATCTCTGTCTGTCAAATAAATAAATAAAATCTAAAAAAAAATGTTGCCTCATTACCACCAGTCCTCTCGGTCACTGAGAGAAATTCTTCCACAAAGCCACCAGAAATGAGTTTGTTGCCAAGTCGAGTTGTAGGGTGGGTGTTAAACTTAATGCAAGTAGTGAGAAGCCTGATTGAACTCTCATGACTTCTGTACTAATTTTTAAATGTGTTTATCTAGAGAATGGCAATTTAAAAGAAAAAGATATACTCATTTTGCCACTTGACCTGACTGACAGAAGTTCCCATGAAGCCGCTACCAAAGTGGTTCTCCAGGAGTTTGGTAAAGTAAGGAGCCATTTTGAATCGATAAGTCTTGCTTTGACACAGATATGAAAGAGATTCCCATCTTTGTGCTATCACTGAAAGGGCTTTAGGTAAATGGGTCCCAATGCCCATGAGTCTCTTATACTCACAGTCTTGGCTTTATGTAATTTGTACTTTCCATACCTTAATAAGTACTAATTCCTTGATGTAGAACAAAGGAAAGTAAAAATTCACTGTGCCTTTTATTTTTGTGATATTTATAAAAAGTCACTTACAATGGGAAATTATTTCCATAGGTGAATCCTGGTTTTATTTTCTCTCTTTCTTGCTGACTTTTGGAAATTCACCATTCCACTGATTTTTTTTCAAGTTAATGATACAACAGACTATCCCTAAGAACTGCATCAATCCATTTACAGGTCATCCCCAAAGTGCCTTTTTCTGATTTTATTTAATTAGATCGACATTCTGGTCAACAATGCGGGAAGATCCCAGCGTTCTTTGGGTGTGGACACCAGCCTGGATGTCTTCAAAGAGCTGATAGAACTTAACTATTTAGGGACGGTGTCCTTGACATTGTGTGTTTTGCCTCACATGATCGAGAGGAAGCAAGGAAAGATTGTTACCGTGAATAGCCTCCTGGGTATCATATCTGCACCCCTTTGTACTGGATACTGTGCCAGCAAACATGCTCTGCGGGTAAGGCTGCTCTGATGGTACTGATCTAAATATGTATGTGGGAGATATGGCCATTTCTGTAAGAGGTTATGGGAACTGGGCAGTGATGTAAGGAAAGAGCAAGAATGACCCATGGAGACTTCTGTTAGAGGACATATCCAGAAGATGCTGAGAAGGACTTGAATCTCAAAGGCATCTTCCTAATTCAGCAAACACGTATTAAGTATCTACACTGTGCCATGCCATGCCCTGCAACGTGGAGATATAAAGATAAGAAATGGTCCCTACCCTCAAGAAGTGTTTAGTCAGCCTGTCACCCTTCTCTTCATCCTTACCAGATCTTTGTGGCACGTTTGGGATCTACACTTCATTTCTTCCACACACACTTGAGGTTGTATTTGTCATTCTCATTTCTGTGGCTTCTTTTTCCTTCCCCATTGTAATGGGCATTTATTTTCTCTGATCTAACTATATGTGCATGTCAGAAATAGGAGCTCCCCACTGGATGAGTAACCCTGGGCTTCATATCCTTACTAGGACTAGGCTTGACTCTGTTGACCATGGCTTCACTGAAAGAAAAGCCAGTCATGGCAGAGGCTAGGAGAAAAGCTTGACTTGGGTTGCTTAAGTTCCTGGATTTAATATTGGAAAGACATGAAGTTTTCGTGTTGGCTTCAGGATAGATAAGAAAAAATATTATTAAACTGTAACATGGAACAAATTAGATCCTAAGGCCAATAGGAGACACATAATTTATAATTAATATTGTTGAAGGTCATTGTAAGTAGCATGTTACACTGTTGGAATAATGAGATGCAACGGCTGAATGGTCCTTGCAGTTTCATGAAGATCTGAAGCTTGTTCTTTAGGGAACCCTCTTTCCACTGCCGAGAGCCGACAGTTGCAGAGTGGTGAACCGGAGACCGTACTGCCGACGTCCCTATATTTGGTGCTGGGTTAGTGGTCACTTCCTGCAGAGCCATTGGGCAAGTCTCAGGCAGGCAGATAAGGGAAGGCGGCCAAGTTTCTCATGACATGCAGGTGCTTTCAGTGAAACACAGCCTGGCCTGCCCTCCAGGACTCACTGTGGTGCTGCTGGATTTGATCCTCTGATACAACATGGCAGGCTGAGACTCTAGTTAGTTAAACCAGTAGCTGAACCCTGGGACCGGGAAGTACTTTTCTAAGAACGTTTTTCCTTTCTTGATTCCCAACAAGCTCTAGAGTGAATTTGTTTATCATTGAAAAGCTCATACTCTGTACCAGACGTGATTGCAGACAAGGGGGTGCATTAGCATCTGACATGTTGGCTTTCGTGGTGTCCTCATCCTTTTTTGCTACAGAGAGGCAAAAGGTTAAGGGTATGAGAGTTCTTGAATTTACAAAAAGCCTTTTTTCCTGTCCGTTTGAGTCAGGCACTTTATTAATCTCTGACTCAGGAGCCCTAACGGCCCCTGTTGATTGGTGGTCAGCATTGGAAGCTGGTAACTGGTTAATGGTGGACAGTAAAAGAACACATTCTGAGTTAGCTGTTTAGTCTCTTCAGTTGTTAATTCAGCTTATACCTATGCAGTCTTGGAACATTTCCTAATTTAGAAAAGAGATGAGGGGAAGTAGATGTTTACTCCCTATTCGGTTTAGAAATGGCCAATATCTTTAAATCTAGAGGGTCTAGCTTGTGTCTACAAAAGCCATCAAGTAAGCACACATACTACTATTTAACCAGCCATGTACTCTCTTGGTAACCCTAAAAGTAAATGTTTGCTGAAATGAATTGTCTGTTAAAATAGTAATATACATAGAAAACGTTGAATTCTTCTTCCTCTCTGATAATTTCTCTTAGGTCTTCCTAACCCCTCTCTCTCCTTCTTGTGCCAGCACTGGCACTTTAGACCACTTTGAGGGATAAAAGTGGCCCAACCTCAGTGATTCTCAGTGGAGCACACACACCTCTTTGGGAGTGGGGAGCTGGGGATGGTGTGAGCAGGGTATTTCAGAATAAACTCCAGGGATGGTTTTCCACTTGTCCAGCATGTACCATAAAAAATCACTGATGCCATGAGCCACCACTGCCAAGAGGGGTGAACTGTTACTACCGGAAGATGACAATGCCCGAATGTGCCTGTCCTATATTGCTCCCAGTCTTACACTTAAAGATGTTTAGTAAGGTTGCCCAATTATATTTCACATCTTTTAGTAGGCATTTCAAAGCGTATTTTGATAATGTGCCACTATTGTCCCCCATAAAAAGTTGAAGAAAAGTAATTTCATGCTAATAGCAAATATGAGATATGTGTACTTAATTTTATTTGTTGCTTTTTTCTTTCTTTCTTTCTTTTTTTTTTTTTTTTTGCCTATTAGGGTTTTTTTAACTGCCTCCGAACTGAACTTGCTACATACCCAGGTATAGTTGTATCTAACATTTGTCCAGGACCTGTGCAATCAAATATTGTGAAGAATTCCCTAGTTGGAGATGTCCAAAAGGTAAAAATGCCTCAGAGAATAATTTAAATGCTTTAGTGGTTATATATTGATATTGTATCACTATGTCTCATGGCTTAGAATTTTTTCTGACATGTTAGACTAACATGTTACCATGTTATGAATGATTTACAAAACTTAACCTTATGGCACCTGAAACACTGTTAAGGTTAGCTGATGGTGCTTTGGCAGTAAGTTTTAATAAAGGCTAAAGAAATTGAGAAGATACTGCTTATAAATAATCCACTGTTATGTGGGCTGTCAGTATTCTTAAAGCCCAGCTTCTGTCAATTCATAAATCATAGTGACATTGAAAGGTTCTCTCTGGCTGAATTGTAGTACATGAAATCTTCTGGGATTTTCAAGAGGGGCAATGGCGAAGGAGCTTAGGAAAAGCTTTGCCAAACTGAGGTAATTTTAGGTTAGCTTCACCTGTGTTCACTGAGCTCATGAATTACACATACTGTTACCCAGTGGAAGACAAATGTCTTGTGAAGAATTCAGTCTCACTCAATCATACAAAATCCAACAAAAGACCACGAAATTTTTCTTCTTTTCAATGAAGATCGATTTCTGCTGAGACATAAATCTATTTCTGCTTGTATGTAAAAGTTTACAGATACCATTTATATCTTCACATTTTCTGTGGAGGCTCTAGGGTAGAAGAGAATGAGTGTGCTCTTCCTAGGAATAAGGTGATTTGGACTGTAGAAATGGTTACTGCTAATGGTCTGTGGGAGCACAGCTGAGTCACTACCTCTCTGGGCCTCAGTTTATTTGTAGAATGGTAGGGGGTTAACTAGATGAGCAGTACCAGATTTGTTCACTACCAGAAACTGCTTTTATCCTCTTCCTCCATTTTATCCCCATGGTGTCCATATCTCTTGCTAAGTGGATTAGTAATTTGTTTAAAAACTTTTATTGCTAAAATGACATATAGTTATCAGTAAATACATTAAAGGTGATCTAAGGAAAAGCAAAGAACCTTCATCTTTTGTTGAGCCTGCAACATCTTATCTGGTAAGTGTATGATTTCTCTTAGGCTTTTGGATATATAAAAATAGCTTATAGACACCCATTAGTAGCTATGGGGACTGCAAATGGGCATGAGTCCCACTGAAAGAGTCACTCCATTAGATGACCTCTATGTCCTTTCTAGCTTAAAAGTTCTGTGAAATAGCTTGGATAAATACTCAGCATTCACTTAATTTCCTTTTTTTAACATTTTCTTAGACCATAGGCATTGATACTGACCAATCCCACAAGATGGCGACCAGTCGTTGTGTGCGGCTGATGTTAATCAGCATGGCCAATGACTTGAAAGAAGTTTGGATCACGTATCAGCCTTTTTTATTAATAACGTATTTGTGGCAATATATGCCAACCTGGGCCTGGTGGATAACCAACAAATTAGGGAAGAAAAGGATTGAGAACTTTAAGAATGGTTTGGTAAGACCCATTTATACAAATTTTTCTTCTTTTTTATTTATTTATTTGACACAGAGAGAGAGAGAGAACACAAGCAGGGGGAGTGGGAGAGGGAGAAGCAGGCTTCCTGTTGAGCAGGGAGCCTGACACAGGGCTCAATCCCAGGACCCTGGGATCATGGCCTAAGCCGAAGGCAGACACTTAATGACTGAGCCACCCAAGCACTCCTACTGCTTAATACGTATCAGTCTTGTAGGAAAGTATGAATTCTCTAGTGCTTGAAAACTTTTCTTACTGATCCTCCATCAACTTCATGATATATATAAAAGAGATAAAAAGAATTGTGTCCCCCATGCATTTCTGTTGGTTTACTATAAATTACTACTGGTCTTAGAGAAAGAGGTTTCTTCAAGGTGAAATCAGAGATTGACATTTTGTCTTCTGCACTTCCTGACCAGTGCATGGGTTAAAATACTCTTTCTCTACTGCTTTTCACAAGTTCCTACCTGGTATGGGTTGATACCTGGCCTTCCCTCCCACTTCTCCCCAGGATGAAGCGTACCTCAGCCCCGTGCTTAACTCTGTCAAAGCTCTTACCACACTGTTAAAACACATGCACACTCTCTTTGTAGTGTTGGTTCCTTTGGCCTCATTCTGGAAGCACTGTGAATATGTGATGTGTGCCAAAATGTCTATGTCTGAGAAAAATATGGTGATTTATTCATTCTTTTGGCACTCATTCTTACAGAAAAGTGAGGAATATTATGGGCTATTTCTGAGAAAATTGTGACCATCACAAGAGTTTAATGTATAAAGATCACAAAATGTAATGAGTTAAGCCAAAAATTATACATATGATAATGCAAAGAAAAGCCATTTCTGTGGATGGTTTCTATCGTAAAATATGTTTTCAAAGACTGCTTCTTCTAGAAGTAAGTTAGCAGGGTTTGATATATAAAGAGAATTATTCAGTGGAAGCATACCATATGTATCATTATGTAGTCTACCACTATTTAAGCAATCCACAATTTGTTAGGCACTTAATTTGTTCCTAGTTTTTGCAGGACAGTGAACATGAATCAGTGGAAAAAGTAAACAACCAAAATGCTTAAAGAAACTTAAGGGTTATAAAACTTCCTTGATGCATTAAACAAGTTCCAAGCTGGAAAATTCCTGAAGGCCATTCATTGGCTACCAAGTTATAATGAAGACGATTTATAGTGTTTTGGTAATGTTGGGATGTAGTGTGGGATCGTTCCAAAGGTAGAGGTTCATCAAAGATTTACATCTGACTTTTGAACTTGGAGGACAACTGGTAGAGTGGTATTGTGCCCAGTGATGGAGGAGAACTGAGAAAGAAAGGGCTTCACACTGGGAGGTGACATAGAGTGTCCTGTTTGAACATGGAGCCTCATACCAGGCTCCCTGGGTAGAAATCCCAGCTCTATCCTGTGACCTCATCCCTCAATCTCAGGCAAGTTCTTCTCTGTCCATCAGTCTTCCCATCAGCAAAATGGAGATTAATGATGCACTTAGTCATAAGATTGTCATGGGGAGTAAGTGAGTGAGTACATGGAAAACTCTTAAAACATGTCTTGGCGTGTTACGCTTGTTAAGTATTAGCTCTTAATGCTTTTGTTTTGATGGTAGCAGGATATTTAGCTAATAGATAAAGATGAAAGAGTTCAGTGAGAGGGTAGGGAGAGAATACATTGTAGAAGTGATTGGGTTCAAGGGAAGAGGGGACCAGGGGCGAGAGCTCTGTTCAGTGCCACTATAGCAGTTGTGCTTTTTGGAATGTCCACAATAACATTATTTTGTCTTGTTTATAGATTATCTAACTGTGAAATACAGACAGTACTCAGTAAATCAAGCATTTGATTACATCAAGTCCTTGCTAAAATGATGGCTTTTCTCTTCCTACCACTAACTTTAATATATTATTACATTGTCTTTTTTTTTTTTTTTTTATAGGTTTTATTTATTTATTTGAGAGAAAGTGTGAGCATAGGGGAGGGGCAGAGGGAGAGGGAGAAGCAGAGTCCTCACTGACATGGGCTCAATCCCAAAACCCGAGATCATGGTCTGAGCCAAAGTCAGATGTTTAAGCAACCAAACTACCTGGGAGCCCCTGCTTACTACATGGTCTTATTGTTAATCACTTTTTTTAATGATAAACTGCACATCCTTTCATTTCCCAAGGATATTTCTGAAAAGAATCCCTCCTCCTTTACACGAAATCATATGAAGTAAAGAAAAAAATTGTTCCTCACTTTTTTAACTCAAGTTTTTCTCCCTGTTTTTTCCCCATTATTTTCTACATTATATATATAAATAAATATATATATATCCATCTACTTATTGAAATTTGCTTATAAAGCATCTATGTTAAGATAATGCCAATATAGCTTATCCCAAACTAAATGTACTTATTGATAATACTTGAATTTATTTCTGTTGTTTAGGCTAGGAACATTATGTCTGGAACTTTGTTTTTATGAATATATGTTATTTTTCAGGATCAAGAACAATACCTGTACTGAATTGTGTTATTTATTATTTTGTCTTAGTGGAAATTCTTAGAAGTATTAAATGCACATCTTGCCCAATGAAATGTCACATCTTAAGAATTATTGCGTTGCCTTGGTTTACTTTTTTAAGCAATATACTAGAAGTTCACAAATCATTTTCGAGTTATCTGTCAGATACTTCAATTCTAAATACGCTGACCTATTCTTTGTATTTATTTATTTATTTTTTTAAGGGTTCGTTTATTTAGAGAATGAGCAAACATGAGCAAGAGGAGGGGCAGAGGGAGAGAATCTCAAGCAGACCTCTGCTGAGTGTGGAGCCCCAATGTGGAGCTCGATCTCACAACCCTGAGATCATAACCTGAGCTGAAATCAGGAGTTGGAGGCTTAACCAACTGAGCTACCCAGTGCCCCAATTCTTTATATTTATTATAGGTATGATATGCTGGTCCAGAAGAGTAATGGTAGATATTTCAGCATTTAAGAAATGCCATGGGCAGATGCTAATATGATATTTATACCTGATAGAGGATATAATGATGCTAAATCCTATAGTGGTATTTTTGTGTAGGTCTAGAATTCTGGCTATGATTTTTATTCTAATTTAAGCATTTTCTCAGGTTTTGTAAGGATTCTTAACAGTGAATCATAATGCTATAACTCCTGAAAACAGAAAGAATTTGTAAAAAACAAAATAGGGTACGTATAAGGAGGGTCTGATTCATGTTACTGTCACTTTGTTGCAGGATGCAGATATCTCTTACTTTAAAGCCTGGAAGACAAAACATGACTGAAGGAGGAGTACTTGTATTTTTTAAGCCACCGGAGGTAGAATTGAAAAACCGCAATCTTCTTATACACTGAAGACTAGCTTACAATTTTACTTTTAGTAGATACAACTTTTCTTTCAACATGTAATAATTAATAAACAATTACCATGAATCTTGCAATAAAAATATTAACACATACTGCATTCTTGGATAAAAAAAGCATTTTTTGTATTTTTTTTATTAATTTCAGAGGTAGAGTTTAGTGATTCACCAGTTGCATATAATACCCAGTGCTCACCACATCACATGCCCTCCTTAATGCCCATCACCCTGACCCCATTCCCCCCACCCACCTCCCCTCCAGCAAAAAAGCATTTCGAAATAACTCTAGCATATATACGTAAGATCTAGTTTAGTAGAATGCTAACCCAAGAATACAGTAAACATAAATGTATGGAATAGTACACAAAGTGGAGTGTGGAGAAATGAGATAATAAAGAAGTATCTGAAATGGACCTGTCTCTAAGGTACTCACACTCTTAGAAGAGTTAACAGGTACAGACGACTACAAGCAGCAAACAGGGCTCATAGGAGCCATCATCAGGCCCCTGCCATATGCACTTTGCTGTACTGAGGTGCTTTGTATGAGTTAGTTCATTTATTCCTCATAACAACCCACTAAGGTATGTGGTATTATCCTTCTTTATAGAGGAAGAAATAGATGTTCAAAGCAAGTAGGTATTAACTTTCTCCTCAGGTGGCTATCCTTACAAAAAGGGGAAGGTGACAGAGGTAGACCACGGGGTACAGCAGCAATGGAATAAAGAGGGTGTAGTATGGGGATAAAATAAAATACACAAGAGTGCTCTTGTACAACCAGTGATGAAAATGGGCATTATGACTAATTGAATACACTGCACCTGGGGTAGAAATAAGACGAATTAATGGAACAATTCTAGAATGCTACAAAATAACATTGTCATATAGCATGATATAGACTGTAAGCATAAATAACTCAGAAAAAGGAGAGATTTGAATATAGAATAGTGCGACTTGAATATGATAACCACTACACTATAGAAACCCCTCTGTAGCATAGAGAATAGTGTGGAAGTCATTTGTGGAGAAGAAGATTTGCAAGATCTTTGCAAGATTTCAAGATGAGCTTTGAAAGGGTGGAATTCAGACAAAGGTTTCAAGAGATTGGAGTACAGGTCAGTTTTGTTTTATCATGAAGTCTACAGACCTTGTCATTATGCTTGCCAATGTTTAGGGTTTGTTGAGAATATGCCAGCTTCCAGAATGTCATGAATGAAAACTCATAGAGACTGAAATTAGCATGGTATGAGGATGAAGGAAAAATGAGAGTTCAGTTTGCTCAATTACTCCAGCCAATCAAGGGTAGAAGATGCATAAATAAATTAAAATGATCTTTAAAAATTCATCTGTATGGTATTCTTCTATGGCATGTATAATTACATACTTTTCTTTGTATAAACCTTTCTTCTTTGATCTTTTTTGTGAGCAACCCAAGATGGAAAAGCAGCTTTTTGTTGAAGTTCATTTTGTCAAAAATAGTCAAGAACTGTGAAACCAAGTGTTCACATACTGACTTTTTATTTTTTTTTATTTTATTATTTTTTTTAAAGATTTATGACTTTTTAAAAATTATATTATTTTGCCCTGACCTCTCATTTCCTAACCATTATCTTAAATGGCCCTTGAAGATGGGAAGGAAATGGTGTACTCATTCCATCAATGCTGAAAGGCAGATATGGGGTTGTGCAAGGTGACAGCTGGTGAGCTGGTTAGAAGAGTTACCAGTAGGAGCTATGGCTTTAGATTTAGTCTGCTCAACTACTGGGTGCACCAATAAGTCTCATGAGACCTCAGTCACAATCAGTTATTCAGAAGCTAAATAACATATCCTACTAAACAAATATCCCATTATTTTAACACCTATTATTATTTTTAACACTGAAGTGTAGTTGATGTACTATGGGCTACACATATTTAAAGTATTCAATTTTATATGTTTTGACATACATGGCCACACTTGTGAAATCATTACACAATAAAGGCAGCAAATATATTCATCAGCCCCAAAGGTTCTTTTGTGCCCTTTGTAATTATTTCCCCTGCCTATCCCACCCCAGGTAACCAATGATGTGCTTTCTGTTACTATAGATTTGTTTGCATTTTCTACAGTTTATATAAATGAAATCATAGTTTATACACAGCTACCGCTGGTGGGAATGTAAAATGGTACATACAACTGATTTGAAAAAGTTTCGCAGTTTCTTAAAATTTAAACCCACACCTCCCCTATGCTCTAGCCATTCTAGTCCTAGGTATGTTCCCAAGAAAAATGAAAACATATGTTCATACAAGGACGTGTAAATGAATGTTCATAAAAGCTTTTACATAATAGTACCACACTGTAAAAAACCCAAATTCCACAACATGAATGAAATAAACAATGTAGAATATTCATATAATGGAGTACTACTCAGCAACAAAAAGGAATGATCCATTGATACATGCAACAACATGGATGAATTTAAAAATAAACCAGAGCATCGGAGTCTAGATTTTTTCTTTTTCAGGCCATTTTAAATTAAAAATTCAATTTCTTTAGTGATTATAGTATATTGAGTTTGTCTATTTCATCATTTTTTAGTTTTGGCTGAGTTTTAGGAGTACGTGGCTTTTAAGAATTAATTGTCTAAGTTACCAAATTTATGAATATAAATTACATTCAGAGTTACTACTGTAAGATGTGAATTTAGTGCCATTGTATTACCTGTAAAGTCCCTGTTTCTGTATATTGTCTTTGTTCCTTTCTGGTCTATGTTACTTTTGGGCTTTCTCTTCATGGATAGGATCCCCTTTAGTATATCTTGCAGGGCTGTTAAGTGATCACAAATTCTTTTAGTTTCTGTGTGTCCTGGAAGATCTCTATCTCCTTCCATTCTGAGTGACATCCTAGCTGGATAAAGTATTCTTGGCTGCATGTTTTTCTCATTTAGTACACTGAATATATACCAGCCCTTTCTGGCCTGCCAGATCTCTGGATAGGTCTACTGCCGGCCTAATGTTTCCACCATTGTAGATTATGAGATTTGCCTTGAGTTGCTTTCAGGATTTTCCTTTTATCTCTGAAATTTGCAAGCTTCACTATTATATTTCAGCATGTTGGTCTATTTTTATTATTTTTGAGGGCTTTTTTTGGACTCTACCTTTTGGACTTGAATACCTGCTCTCTTCCCCACATTAGGGAGGGTCTCAGTTATGATTTGCTCAAATATACCATCTGTCCCCTTATCTTTTCTTCCCCTAGAACTCCAATAATTCTATTATTGTTTCACTTTATGGTAGTGCTGATTTCTGGTCTTCCCTCATGGTCCGTTAGTTTTTCTTTCTCTCCTCAGCTTCTTTACTTTCCATCATCTTGTCTTCTATGTCACTGACTCTCTCTTCTGCTTCACTTACCCCAGCTGTTAGAGCATCCAATTTAGACTGCATCTCAGTTAAAACATTTTTAATTTGGACCTGATTAGATATATTTCTGCACTAAGAGTTTTTCTAGTGTCTTTTATGCTTTTTTCAAGCCCAGCTAGTAACTTTATCATTGTCATCCTGAGTTCCAGCTCTGACATTTTACTTACAGCCGTATCAATTAGATCTGTGCCAGACACTATTACTTCTGGTTCTTTCCTTTGTTGTGAATTCCTCTTCTAGTCATTTTGGCCAGGGAAGAATGGACAAATGAGAGAACAACAACAACAAAAAATATCAACCAAAACCCAAGTGAAATACATACCAGACAAATCTGAAGAGGCCAGAAACCAAAAAATTAAAGAAAAAAAAAATGGAGAAAAGAGAGAATATAATCCTCCATGTGGACAAATTAGGGTGATTTACTTGGTCCTGGGTGTATTTTGGTCTGTTTGATAGAAAACAATAAATCCCAAAATTGTAAAGAAAGCTCTCTCTCTCCATATATATATATATATATATGGAGATATGTGTATATGTGTGTGTATATATATGTATGTGTATATATATATATATACACATACATATATATACACACACACACAAATAAATTGAATACAGGGAAAGGAAGCCAAAAATCAAGAATATATCTATAAAATGTAAAAATGAAAGTTAATAAAAAGATTTAAAAAGAATTGATGAAATAAGAAACGAGTTAAAAAGGAAAAAAAGAAAAAAAAAGGAAAATTTTAAATTGAAAGATAAAAGAATCATGAGAGAAAACCTCAAATTCTATATATTATTTTCTACTAGCACTGGAGTTTTGCAGTTCTTTTTACTTGGTAAGGTTGGTGTTCCCCTGATGTACCAGCAGGTCCTCTGGGGAAGAGGTCTGCTACACTGATTTTCAGGTGTCTTTGCCTAGAAGGAGTTGCACCACCCCTTCCCAGGGGGCAGGGCTCAGTACAAGCTGCTTTGGGTTGTTCTATGTGGCTTTTGTTCCCTGAAGGCTTTCTATGCTGCTTTAGAGGATGAAAATAAAAATGGAAGCACCCAGTCTCCAGTGTTGGAGCTGAAAGATCACCTCCTCCCCCACCCCCACCCCCAGTAAACCCTCAGGGAAAAATCAATCGTACTTTTGTATATACCAAACTCTGCAGACTTCTACAAATTGTGCTTGTGCCATTCCTCCAGTGGGAGGGAGGAAGGTGGAGGGTTGCTGCGGGCCTGTCATGGGGAAGGCGGAGGTTCACTGCATTTCTGCCCTTTGCAGGGCTCCTGCATGGACTGTGGTGGCCAGATTGTTCCCTGGTTCGTGGTTTATGGCAAACCAAGCTGAGAACCCCCTCCCAGGCTCAGTGACTGTAGCCAGTTTCTCCACTCTGATGCTTGGAGACTCTGTTGGCTCAGGTATCCCCATTCTTTCTGTGACCGTGGGGTTCCTGAGACCATAGAGTCTCACCCAAGATTCTGTCCTGCTTCGCCACCTGAGTGCCTTTCAGGCAGGAATGTCTCTTGGAGGAGATTTCTAAAAGTTCCATTTTGTGTTCTGGGGCTATATCACTTTCTAGTAGCTGGTCTATGGGAGCTCCCTTGCCCCCTCACCGATCCCACCATTTACCTTATGATATATCCCCTCTGATTCACTGCTCTGCACCTCCTACCCTTGTGAAAAGTGGCCGCCTTTCTATGTGTAGAATTCCACCAATTCTTTTCTTACATTTCAGATTGGGTTTGACCTGAATTTCTACCATATTAAATGTCAAAACAAAACAGCACAAAGTTTGAAAATACTATAAAATTTAATATTTCAAATAAATAAATATACATTATGCAACCTTCAACAGGATCTATTATCGTCACATAAAAACACTGATATGTGTGTATATCTTCTAGGAATGTTAAAATTACATAGTTGTTGACTTCTATAAAGCAAGCCACCTATCACATATTTAAGAAAGCATTAATAAATTCATTACTTAATCTCATACAAATGTTTTATATTTGCTAAAGCCTACCACAATCCATAGGGCGCAAATATTGGCCAACTATTTCTAACTTTTGTGTTAGACAAAGTTTTTCAAACATTACGATAGCTGAGAGAATCAACTTTACAGAGCTTAGCTTTTCTCAGGTATCTGACTTGGAGGAGGAAAGAGAGAAGTCCAGTGAAGTTATGAGGGATCACATTGTTACTTTTCTATAATGAAAAAATAAAGACATCTCATTTTTGACGATACACTTACAAGTCAAAATGGGCTCTAATACAAATGTATGTGAAGAGGTTTTGAAGAATAAATTGGATATCCCAGGGGAGGATCAGCTGCTTGTACTGTAAGGTTTCTTAAAAGTAGCGGATGAGCTTGTATACTATATCGTTCCTCATCATCGTTTGTGGCATAAAGCAATTCCCATGACAGATTGGCCCACTGACCTTTAACAGCTTCAGCATTTAACTTCCCCACTTGGATCAACAATTCTTGAAGGGTAAGTACTCTCCCAGTGTAAACACCCTTCAGAGTATAAAAGGTGGGTGGGAAAGGAGAAGAAAAAGTTACCTTCAGGCCTTTATATTTTATTTGTAAATTTAGAGAAAAATTCCATTGTAGTTAGGCAAACTTAAACAGAAAGTGGTATATTAAAATATACACAAGAGTTACTTGTCTTCAGAATCAAGATTCACTTTTATTTGGAAGCTCTCTGAATAAGCTTGATATGACAGCCCTTCATTCAATAACCCTAACAGCAAAATCTCAGCTACTTCTGTTTCCTTTCCTTCTCTATTCCTTCACCCCATCTGGCCTCAACAATGCATAAGTCATAGATAGTAGTCAGTGGACAATCACACAATAAGTTCTTTTTAAAACATTTTGAGATATAATTCACATTCCATACTATTTACTCATGTAAATTGTTTAGTTCAATAGTTTTTTTTAGTATATTCAAATATATACAAGCACCTCCAAAATTTTAGAACATCTTCATGATCTCAAAAGGAAACTTGTGCTCTTTAGCTATTACTCGCTTATCCCATCATTCTCCCAGTTATAAGCAACCACTTATGTACTTTCTATAATTTTGCCTTTTATGAAATTATCATATGAATGGAATCATAATGATCGTGACTGGCTTCTTTAACTTAGCATATTTTCAAGGCTCATTCGTGCATATATCAGTACTTTATTCCTTTTTATGGTGGACTAACATTCCATTGCATGGAAAAACCACAATCTGCTTACTGATTCGTCAGTTGATGGATAGTTTGGTTGTTTCTACCTTTTGTCAGTTATGAATAATACTGTAATAAACATCCATATACGAGTTTCTATGTGGATCTATGCTTTCATTTCTCTTGGGTCTATACCTAGAAGTGGAATTACTGAGTCATATGTAACTCTAAGTTTAATCATTTAAGAAACCGACAAAATGTTTTCTAAATGGTTGTACCATTTTACATTTCTGCCAGCACTGTGTTAGAGTTCTAATTCTTCACATCCACCAATACTTATTATTTGCCTTTTTTATTTCAGCCATTGTAATATGAACTTGTATGAAGTGATACCTCACTGTGGATTTGGTTTGCATTTCTTTCATGACAAATGATACTGAACATCTTTTCATGGGCTCTTTTATTGCCCCATTTGTATGTCTCCTTTGAAGAAATATCTATAGAGATACTTTGCTCATTTTAAAATTAGCTCATATTTTAAATAAAAACACAAGGATTCTTTAAATATTCTAGTAACAAGTCCCTTATCATATATATGCAAATATTTTTCCCATTCTGTGAGTTGTCTTTCCACTTTCTTGATTGTATCTTTTGAAGCACAGAAATTTTTACTTTTGATGAAGTTCTATTTATCTATTTTTGTTTTGTTTTGTTTTCATGCTTTTGGTATTATATCTCAGAATCTACCACCATATTTAAGATCATAAAGATTTACTCCTGTGTTCTCTTCTATGATTTTTATGGTGTTAGCTCTTACATTTAGAACTTTGATTTATTTTGCGTTCATTTTTATATATAGTATGAAGTAATGGCCTGCAGTTGGTTGAATGGTATCCCTCAAAGAAGATATATCTCAGTCCTAATCCGTGGTACCTGTAAATCTTGTTTAGAATATGTTTTTGCAGGTGTAATTAAGAATCTTAAGATGAGATCATCCTGAATTTAGGTGGTCCTAAATACAGTGGTTGTGTCCTTAGAAAGGGATACAAGAACTGACATGGGGGTGGATATAGGAAAGGTGTCCATGCAAAGACAGAAATAGATTGGAGTTATGCTGTCACAAGCCAAGGAATACCAGGAGTCACCAGCAGCTGGAAGAGGCAAGATTCTTCCCTAAAGCATCTGGACAGAGTATGGCCCTGCTGGCATCGTGATTTCAGGCTATCGACCTCCAGAACTCTGAGAGAATAAACTTCTGTTGTTTCAAGCCACCCAGTTCACAGTAATTTGTTGTAGCAGCTCTGAAAACTAATATGGGGTTCAATGACATTCTTTTGAATGTGGCTATCGGTCTCAATACCATTTGCTGAAGAATGGTCTTGGCAACCTTGTTAAAATCAGTTTATCAAAGCCACATGAATTTATTTCTAGATTTTGATTCAATCATTGATTTTTATGTCTATCTTTATGCCATTGCCATACTGTCTTCATTGCTGGTCTGTACTAAGTTCTGAAATTTGTGTTAGTCTGACAATTTTCAGATTGTTCTGTATATTCAGGGTCCCTTGAAATTCCATATGAATTTAAGAAACAGTTTGCCAATGTCACAAAAAAGCCAGCTGAGATTCTGATGGGTGTTGTACCAACTCTGCGAATCAGCTGGGGAGTAACGTCATCCTATCATTTTGAGGCAGGAACATAGGATGTTTTTTCATGTTATTAAATCTTAAATCATTTCTTTCAACAACATTTCATCATTTTCGGAGAATATGTTTCATGCTTTTCTTGCTAAATTTCTTCTTAAGTATTAAGTAGAATTGTTTTCTTAACTTCATTTTTAGATTGTGTTTTAGATTTTAGATTACTAGTGTATGGAAACATGATAGATTTTTGTATGTTTATTTTGTATCCTATAACCATGCTGTACTTAATAATTTTAAGTTTTTTAGAGAATTCCTTAGAATTTCTATATGCAAAATCACATTATCTGTGAATAGAGACGATTTCACGTCTCCCTTTCTGGTCTGAGTATTTTTTTTTTCTTGCTTAATTACCTTGGCTAGAATCTCTAATATAATGTTTAATAAAAGTGTCGAATAAAATCCTTGTCTTACTACTGATCATAAGGGAACTATCAGCTTTTCACCAATAAGTATGATGTTAACTATGGGTTTTTCACAGATGCCTTTATCAAACTGAGGAAAACTCCTTACTATTCCTACTCTTTGGATTTTTTTGTCAAATCCTTTTTCTGTGTCTACTGAGATGATTATACAGTTTTATTTTTTTATTCAATTGATACGGTATATTATGTTAACTGATTTTTCAGTGTTAAGGCAACATTGGATTCCTGGGATAAATACCACTTGGTCATGGTTTTATAATTTTTTTATATGTTGCTGGATTCAGTTTGCTATTATTTTGTTACAGATTTCGGCAACTACATTGATAAAAGATGTTAGCCTGTAATTTTCTATCCTTGTAATGTTTCCTTATGCTTTTGATATCAGGGTTAATACAGGCTTTAGAGAATGCACTGGTAAGTGCTTTTTTTTTTTTTTTTTTGAAGAGTTTGTGAAGAACTGGTATTATTCTTTAAAATACTTGGGGGGGCACATGGGTGGCTCAGTCGTTAAGCATCTGCCTTCAGCTCATGTCATGATCCTAGGGTCCTGGGATCAAGCCTCTCATTGTGCTCTCTAATCAGTGGGAAGCCTGCTTCTCCCTCTACCACACCTCCTGCTTGTGTTCCCTCTCTCACTGTCTATCTCAAATAAATAAAATCTTAAAAGTACTTGGTAGAATTATGTAACAAAGCCATATAGTTTTCAGATTTTCTTTACAGTTAGTATTTTGATTACTAATTCAATCTCCTTAGTTGTTATAGGTCTGTTCAGATTACCTACTTCTTCTTGAGTCAGTTTTGGTAGTTTGTATTTGCAGGAATTTGTCCATTTCATCTAAGTTATATAATTCACTGGCATAAAAGTGTTCACAGTATTCCTTTATAATCATTTTTATTTCTATAAGGTCAGTAGTAATGTCCCTCTTTTTTTCATTTTCTATTTCATAATCACTTATCTTTATTAATTTCTTTCTTCTATTTGCTTTAAATTTAGTTTACTCTTCTTTTTCTAGTGTTATAAGATGGAAGGTTAAGCTATCAATTTGAAATCTTTCTTCTTTTTAAATAGACATTTTAAAGCTATGAATTTTCCTCTAAAAACTGCTTTAATTGTATCTTTCAAGTTTTGCTATACTCTTTTTGCCATTCATCTCAATGTATATTCCAATTTCTTCTTTGACCACTGGCGATTTAGGCATGTGTTGTTTAATTTCCACATATCTTGTTAGTTTACTCAATAAACTGTTATCTGTTTAGTTTACATATCTGTTAGTTTACTCAATTTCTTTCTCTCACTGATTTTTAATTTCATTTCCTTCTGGTCAGAGGATACATTTCAATCATTTGAAATGTATTAAGTTTGTTTTATGTATTAGCATATGATTTACTCTGGAGAATGTTTCATGCACACTTCAGAAGAAGAATATTCAGATGAATAGAATATTCAGATGAATATTCTATTGTTTTTAGAAGGAATATTCTACAGCTATGGTCTTTCTCAAGATTGCTTTGGATATTAGGGGTCTTTTGTGGTTCCATACGAATTTTAGGATTGTTCTATTTCTGTGAAAATGCCACTGGAATTTTGATAGGAATTGTGGTGAATATGTAGACTGCTTTGGGTGGTACGCACATTTAATAGTACTAATTCTTCAGTGGGGAGCCTGCTTCCTCCTCTGGCTCTCTGCCTGCCT